ATAATGCTACTCTCACCGACTATAAAAACCATATTTGTCATTTTTTCAAAAGCCAACTACTTTTTAAGATACTATTTTTTAGAGTGGTTTTAGGTTCAAAGCAAAATTAAGAGGAAGGTACAGAAATTTCCCATAGGCCCCTTGTCCTCACACATGCATAGCCTCCCCTATTATCAACATCACTCACGAGAATGGACATTTGTTACCAAGGATGACTCCACATTGATGTATCATAATCACCTAAAGTCCACAGTTTGTCTAAGGCTTCACCTTTTGTGTTGTAGAATTATTTTTAAATCTTTGTATCTGTTAATTTTTAAAATATATACCCAGGTACATATTATATATTTTTTAAACTTTTGTTATTTATTAAAACAAATGATATATAAATCTCAAAACATAACATCAAGAACTGTTATTTATAAGGCTTGATAAGCTGAATAATTCCACTCATATTTTCAAATTAATTCATTTGTCCTAGCCCTTGAAGGTGTTGAAAATGCGTATTCAACAACCCAAAGTAGTAAAGTGCATAAGTCAGAGTTGAGCCAGGAGACGGAAACCAGGAGAAGTTTGATGTAAAGAATTATTAACTATTTGTAGGGGATAGCCTAGTAAGAGGGAGTAAAAGAAAATTACATAAACTGCCTTAGGGTTAAAGGAGAGTACCCAAAGAAGGAATCACTTTGCAGCCAGGTCTACTCACTGAGGTTGGGTTTCAGACATCACTGAAGACACTGTGGCTGCAGACAGCTTCCTGGCAGTCATGTTCACTGGGTGGCCCTGGGACAGAGTGGTTCCTCAGTCAGTGGGTGAGGATGGATCTCAGGCTGTGACTGGGAAGCAGGAAGACCTCCCTACCAGAGTATCAGCAAGCCGAGGCTGGAGGGCAAGGAACTATGACTGGGACTGGACACAAAACTTGCTGGAGAGGGAATACCACAGGACTTCCTGCACTCAAGCAGCTGGAAACAGCACCATAGTAGCCAAAGGAGAGAAAACACCTTGAAACCAGGAAGAAGAGCCCCTTCTCCTGCAGTGTCTCTCCAGTGCCTTTTACTGACGAAAGAGCA